GGTCTCGGCCCCTCGTTCATATTTTCATATTGCACATTTCACATGGCGACCACCGTGAATTGACTGTGTTGGCCAGCCACCTGTCCGTTCCCTCCACCCCCGCCTTGACAGCTGCCGCGGCTACCCCGAGAACCACTCGTCCAGCCACCCTTCGCCGCTGACGCTTTCATATGACCTCTGTTTACGAACCCTTCCCCCATTCCTAATGCTAGGTGAATTGTCCCGTGAAATCATATAAAAGCGCAGCCATCCCCCTCTCCCACTAACACACACAAGGTTTCTCATGACCAGTTACGTTCGCCTGGCGCTATTCTTGAACTTTTTTCGTTCCCTTATATAGACTCCTTTCGCTCTTGACTTGGTGTGTCTATTGTTGAGGTTCGTACACTATTTACCCTTTACTATTTTTGCTTACTAGTACCGTACCATCTTGATAGTTGTTATCATTGGTTTTGGCGTAGGCGTGGCTGCTGGATACAGTCGGAGAAGTCAAGAGACGTTACATAATTGTCTTCCTTCTGGAAAGCCGAGTTCGATAAATTTTCTGTCTGAACAAGCAATGCTTTTTGTTTTTAAATCATTTAGTAATCATCGTGCTATCGAAACTGAACCAGCTTCTGCTTTCACATGTAGAACACCTAATAAAATACTGCATACTTCCAGTTTAAATGTGTCAAATCCTTTTATGCGATTAGGAGGATGTCATCTAGTTCCTATAAAATCGGACAACTGTTGACTTAAAAAAGCGGGCAACAGTAATAGAGAAAAGGACGATTCCTGGTGAAATTCTACTTGTGCATCCATATTAATTTTCCTAACCTGCTAACAGTTTCTGTATTTTTATTTCAAGCTTAAGGTCTAAGGTGCTCATTGGCAAATCTGGATGTTGATTTTGTACTTACTGGAGAATACTATTTTTCACTATACATTCTTTTAAAAGAACTTTTTTGTTAAAACCGATCCTCTGTGTGCTGTTTGATCAACTTTGTGTAAAACAAACGAGAGTTTTGTTTGTTGGTCGCAGGAATAAATTATATGCACACGAATGGAAATAATGAAAAGGCAATCACTATCCTACGGAGTGAAGGAGAAATACTGGACTCTGTGTTTGTCCTTACCACGGCTACTGGATTACAACTGGTTTCAGGTCATCTTTGAATGTCCAACGAATACTTCATACTTCTCCTTTTTTCAGGTTTCTTCCATTAATTCAGTTCCTTTCCTATTAGTTTATAAAAAATTTCAATATAATGTATTTATTAGGAGCATTTATCGAAAAATTGACTTTTCTTCTTTCTTATGCATATGGCCGTATTTTTAGATTCACCTCAACATGAAGATTCATTGCCGAGAAAAAATATCCACAACAAACATATGTTTTCAGCAACTCGTCATCAGGTCAAACATTTGTAGTGGAAAGTGAAAGCTGTACATAACAACTGAAGTATGAATATGTAGAAAGAAACAATAATTGCGGACTATGTTAGTTTGCGCAAGTCGGTGAGATCAGCGTTTTGGTTGAGAGTTTGTCGCTAGTTGGTAGGGGCGAAATGCACACGTCTGGCGGAGTGCATGTCAGTCATTCAGACATCTGCTAATCGACACACTGCTTATCATGCGAGCGATGAGACTACAGCTAGGAATTGTTGTCGGCGATCGTGTACTGAGAGCCACGAGAATGGACTCGGCTTACTGCAGTCTACTACACTTGCTACTGTTAGCTGACTCAGACATTAAACCCCAAAACCCCATTTAAATTTTAACACGAGGATGGACCGTGGAATAAGTGGTCTGTCCTTTTGTACCCTGTTTGAGCCTCACTTACTGACATTTACCTCTACACGAACAGACACTTGAGAGTGTACTTTTCTGTTGTAGCATCCTTGACCCCAAACCAACTGCAACCGTGACGATGGGTTCCTCAGTCTACCAGGATTCATCACTCACACAGATTAAGGTTTTCGTGGTGTCTTCTATTTGTCCTTGTGTGTACTGCGGCGACTTCGTCAACCGATGTCGCATCTACCGCACCTTTTGGGCCTAGTCTGCACCGCCTTCTGACCGTTTACCCCCTGTATCGGCCCGCTTGCATGTGATTCCCTCTACCATATCTCCAACCTCCCAGACATCTGAGGTCGACAATTGTTCAGGGATTTCACATTTGAAAAAGTCGAAAATTCTGAAATGTGCTTTCGTTTCGAAACTATTGTTGTGTAGGTTTGCAATATTTCTTATACTGCAAGCAAAAGTTGAGACATTTCACTCATATCACTATGCCGGTATTTGAGTGACCTTCTGCCGAGCGCCTGCAAAACGTGTACTCTGTAAAGGGATTGCTACATATGTAGTATGCATTTTTATAATTTATTTTCAGCGCTTTTATATACCCTTTTTTCGAAATATATGACGCACTTGACACCCTTTAATTTCCCAAAAACGAAAGTGTGCCTTATTACCCGGTGCACATTATTTATCGATTAATTCTGGTTACTGACATCAAAGCGACTTTTTGTGGTACGGAACGCTGTTTTACTCTGTAGTCAGGAGAGTCTATTAAAGTAAAGAATTCGAAGTGCGAAATATAATCCAGAACACAAGGTTTATAAATATATGTAGCAGAAAACGGGCCCAGAATTAGTCTATCTTGTACACATTTTGTAGCGAATGGCGCCTCCCTCAATTTTGTACTTGAATAAAAGGTGCCTTTCAGTTAAATTTACCCAACAATTTTAACTCTACCGGCTGCTACACTTGAATTTAAGATTTCCAACCTAAAAGTTCTACGCATTGCGTCTTAGGAAAAGCAAAGGGTTTTGTGCGATAGGAGTTTAAGGCTAGATACCGCTCACAAAATCTTGCAATGGACGTCGATAATGTTGGATAATTTATCCAAAAAAATACTACATTTACGGATACCATGCATCATGAATGAACATTTCATGGTTTAAAAAATCTCCCAATGGTACACTTCTGTGAAACCGAGAGATAGTGTTTCGAGAAGAAGAAGACTCGATCGCTGGGACAGTATGTTTATTCGCTTGACGTTTAGCCATCCGTCGCGGATACATCAGCAGAGACATGACTAGGAGAAACAGACGTCAGGCGAATCAACATATTGTCCTAGAGATCGAGTCTTCTACTTCTCAATTGCTTCCTGGGACACGCATGTTCACTTGTATGGACAAGATACTCTTTCCTCAAATACAACATTGAAAGGGGGTGTAATTCGCCACCAAACGAGTCCATCAGAGTCCATCAAGAAGGTAGTGAAAACAGAAGAATTCGCGGTAGGAGTACCTCATCAGGTCGCTTAGGGAGCGCGCCAATTATTCTGTTGAAAAGGGCCTAGAGGATCAAATAGACTCGCGCTGATGCATAAACTTCGCCAAATTGCCCCTTTAAAAGTTCCATCTGAAAATGGAATGTTTTTCGAAAACAATTCAGGCTACTTTTTCTCCAAGCACACTGCGGACTGCATTTTCAGGCAAATAATCAGTCATTCAGACATCTGCTAATGGACACACTGCTTATCATGCGAGTAATGAGACTAAAGCTTGGTGTTATTGTCGGCGATGGTGTACTGAGAGCCACGATAGTGAAGACGCCCTACTGCAGACTACTACACTTGCTACGTTTAGCTGACTCAGACATTAACCCAAACACCATTTCTGACCGTTTACCCCCTGTGTCGGCCCG